TGAATTTATTTTAAAGAAAAGTATTAGATTTCACAAATGGGTGGAGGATAATTGTTAATGGATTTTTGGAAAATTGGTGGTATTACAGGGGGGAATTGGATTCTATAGATACAATTACATCTGCAGACCTAACAGATGGAGGATATTGTATCTATAGATACAATTAGTTCTTTTATAATCGACACCATAATTCTAATCTTTAAAAAACTACGCCTTGGTGAGGCCATTAAAATCTAATCTTTAAAAAACTACGCCTTCGTTAGGCCCTTGGTTAGGCCCTTAAAATCTAATCTTTAAAAAACTACGCCTTCGTTAGGCCCTTGGTTAGGCCCTTAAAATCTAATCTTTAAAAAACTACGCCTTCGTTAGGCCCTTAAAATCTAATCTTTAAAAAACTACGCCTTCGTTAGGCCCTTAAAATCTAATTTTTAAAAAACTACGCCTTCGTTAGGCCCTTAAAATCTAATTTTTAAAAAACTACGCCTTCGTTAGGCCCTTAAAATCTAATTTTTAAAAAACTACGCCTTCGTTAGGCCCTTAAAATCTAACCTTTAAAACACTACGCCTTGGTTAGGCCCTTAAAATCTAATCTTTAAAAATCTACGCCTTGGTTAGGCCCTTAAAATCTAATCTTTAAAAATCTACGCCTTGATTAGGTTCTTTAAATCGATTCTTTAAACATTTAAAATTGATGCTTTAAAAATCTACACCTTGATTAGGTCCTTAAAATTGAGCAAATATTCTTTAAAAATGCCTTCGTTAGGCCCTTGGTTAGGCCCTTAAAATCTAATCTTTAAAAAACTACGCCTTCGTTAGGCCCTTAAAATCTAATCTTTAAAAAACTACGCCTTCGTTAGGCCCTTAAAATCTAATCTTTAAAAAACTACGCCTTCGTTAGGCCCTTGGTTAGGCCCTTAAAATCTAATCTTTAAAAAACTACGCCTTCGTTAGGCCCTTGGTTAGGCCCTTAAAATCTAATCTTTAAAAAACTACGCCTTCGTTAGGCCCTTGGTTAGGCCCTTAAAATCTAATCTTTAAAAAACTACGCCTTCGTTAGGCCCTTAAAATCTAATTTTTAAAAAACTACGCCTTCGTTAGGCCCTTAAAATCTAATTTTTAAAAAACTACGCCTTCGTTAGGCCCTTAAAATCTAACCTTTAAAACACTACGCCTTGGTTAGGTCCTTTAAATCGATTCTTTAAAAATCTACGCCTTGGTTAGGTTCTTTAAATCGATTCTTTAAACATTTAAAATTGATGCTTTAAAAATCTACACCTTGATTAGGTCCTTAAAATTGAGCAAATATTCTTTAAAAATGTACGTTTTTGTTAGAGCCTTAACATATTTTCTTAAAAAATATACTCCTTAAATGTATTCTTTAAAAATGTACGCCTTTTTAAATCTACGTCGTCGTTGAAAAATATTCATTAAACCCCTTATTTTTTTATCGACGCGTTTTCTGGGTTCTTAAGGATATTTTTAAAAAAAATATACACCTTATTACATTTTTGAAATAAAAGTCCTTTGTTACGTCCTTAAAAATATTCTCTAAAATTACGGCTTTGTTAGGCGCTTGACAAAAATTGAATATCTGATTAATATTTCTTAAGGATAAGTCCTTGCCAAGTCCTTAAATGTTTACATCTCCATCCTTATCAGTCCTTGAGCAAATATTTCATAAAAAGTTCACGGCTTTATCCTGAAAAGTAGTAATAAAAGTTCCTCAAAAATCAACGCCAAATGTTCCTCAAAAATCACGTCATAGTCCTTAAATGTTCATGAAAAATAATTCCCCCAAATGTCCTACGACCTTAATTATCTTTTAAAAATATTCCATAAAAGTCAACAACCTTTAAGGAATATTAAGAATAAGTCCTTGCAAAAATTTTTGTTAAAAATCAATGCTTTGAACATTTTTTCATAAAAATTCGCGTTTAAACCCAACCCTAGAAAAAATCTCGCGTATATCATTAACAATATATGAAAAAATATTATATCCATAATAGTGCTTGAAAATATATTTTTCAAAAATCTACACATATCCTTTGAAAAACGCTTTTAACATACAAGTTTGTAATCTTGAAAGTCCTTGAAGAAATGTTCTTATCCAAACTTATATCCTTTTTGAGCCTTGAAAAATATTTTTTAACAAATTCACGCTTATATTCATACTAATTGTTTATTTTAATCCAGTCTTATATACTTGCTAGTTATTGAGAATATATTTAAAAAAAATCCATTATTATATCGTTGGTAATCCATAAAACTTGTCTTAAATAATCAACGCTTATATCCTTGCTAACCATTATACAATATAAATAAAAATATTATTTAAATAAATACACACAAAATTTTTATTTATATCCAAGAATTCAATCAATTTTTTTAATTATCTTAATTTGAAATTCTCGGAACCATCCATTTTAAATGAAATGAAACGTCTGGTCTGTTCATTTTAAATGAAATGTTTTGAACTTGAAATTAAATTCTTAGAAAAAAGAATAATAAGTAAAAATTCTTTGGGATTTCAAATAAAGAACTAAATAAATACTCGTATTTATTTTAACTTGACCAAAGTTGTGCTAGTTTTTTCTTTATTTAAACTGAAATGCTGTTTCCTGAAGCCATTGTATTTCTTTCGCATTTTCTTCTTCTTTTTCCAAATCTTTGTTTATTATAAAAATAAACCGTTCTTGGGGTTTTTTTTAATAAAATTATCCATGGTTACCATTACAACAAGGTACATATGTAAGTAGTTTGTTTCGGTGTGTGTGGGTCACCCGTGTAATGTGCATAATAATGTAATTTGTGTAAAATGTGTTGTGCGTAAAGAAGGGACAGAGGGAAGGTCGGTGTGTGTGTGTTTCCATACACGTGTTGTGTTGACTGCCTTCTTCATTTGTCCAATGTTGGCAGAAAAAAAGAAAAAACAAATACACCACCTCACACCTAAATCATCTAGAGAAAAATGTGTAAACCTCTGACCTGCCCCTGTTGATATGGCTGCCCTCAATGGCTGTTGTCCTTTTCATAGCCCCTGTGTAAATTACAAGAGAGAGGACTTGTACTAAACATTGGCGGAGAACATAAATTACGGCAAAACAATGAAGTGGAAATGCAATTAAGGAAACAAAAGAAAAGGAAATATAGTTTTGTTTTTATTTTTCTCAAATGAATACAGACTTTTCGAAGGATAAGAACAAAGGACACTCGAAGAAATTTAATTAGGAACGAAATTATTTGGTAATAATTATATTAAAATAGAATGCTTTAAAAATAAATACCACGATAACATCGAGAAATATTATTAAATAATCCAAGTTTAAATCTTAAATATCACTTCTTATAAAATACGCACTTATATTCTTGAAAAAAACCAAAAAATTGAAAAATAGGCTTCCAAAATCCACAATTAAATCCTTGAAATTTTTTCAATATAAACTCAAGTTTAAATTCTTGCTAATCCTTGTTTTTTTTAATCCACGTTTAAATCCTTGAATTTTTTTCTCAACCCACGCTTATATCCTTGTTAATCCATGTAAAAATATTTTTTAAAAATCCACGCTTATATCCTTGCAAATCCATGCAAAAATATTCTTTAAAAATTCACGCTTATATCCGTGCTAAAATATTTTTTTGAAATCCACGCTTATATCCTTGTTAATCCATGCAAAAATATTCTTTAAAAATTCACGCTTATATCCTTGCTAATCCTTGAAAAAATATTCTTTAAAAAACACGATATGCTTGATAATCCTTACAAAAATATTCTTTAAAAATTCACGCTTATATTCTTGCTAATCCTTAGAAAATATTTTATAAAAATTCACTCTTATATCCTTGTATATCCCTGAAAAATATTCTTTAAAAATCCACGCTTATATCCTTCCTAATTCCTAAAAAATAACATTCTTTATAAAATACACGCATTTATCCTTTTTACTCCTTGCAACAATGTTCGTTGAAAATCCACACACACATATATATATATATATATATATCCTTCTATATAAAATCCACGATTGCATCCTTAATAGTCCTTGAATATACAAATATTCTTACTTCCTTACAAATATTCTTTAAAAAAGCATATTAATATCGCTAATAGCCCCAGGGAAATATTTGTTAATAAATAAAAATAATAAAATTGTTAATAAATAGTCCTTGAAATGTATTCCTAGAAAAAATCCACGCCACGTTTATGTCCTAGCAAATCATTAAAAAATATTTGTAAAAAAATCTACAACAATATCCTTCCCATTTGTTAGCCACATCTATATATTTTATAGATCTTGGAAAATGTCGACACAAATCCACTCTTAGCGCCTTCACAATCCCGTCAGTAAGACATTCTTAAAGAATCTACGTAAAGTTAGGTGAATATATTTGCAACTCCTGAAAATATATATTTAAAAATTAGCATGATTATAGCTGTCTAGTCATTTTAAATGTGGTCTTTATAAAATCTCAGCCATTTAGTGACTCTATTTGAATTCTCCCCACTGTGTAATACCCAAACCAAAGAAACAAGTTCAAAATTATTCTACCATTGGCCGGTAAATTAGTTGCAAAACTGTTTAAGGGCCAGCAAACACGTCAAAATGACAAAAACAACAACAACAAGAGGCCAAGAGGCTACTTGTCAACCTTGAAAGTGAGTAGCTACTAAGCCTAAGGACAACAATACGCACATAGACACAAACGCACTCACTCACTACACTGCGGAGCTACAGCGTCTACAGAGGAAGAAAGGAAGAAAAACGAAACAATGACAAAACTGATGGGGATGAGGACGATGATGATGAGGACGATAATGGTAAGGCTAAAAGTGGGCTTATGATTTTTTAGGCCAAACATACAAATAATTGCCAGGACATGAAAAGGACAGAACGGAGAACAACAGCTTAAAATGACAGGACAAACTTCAATCCATTATAAGAAAGAACTACAAAAACAACAACAAAATCACTTGGAAGAAGAAAATCTCTTGAATAGCAAACCTTTTTTGTAGCCATTCAATGAATGACATATCGACTTGATTGACAAGGAGAACATGATGGAAACTTTACTGCCGATGATGACGATGATGGTGGGTGTGGTGCTGGTGTCACAACCCATAAAGCAATGAATGGCCAAAGTGATGACACCATAAGTCACCTGATCCCAACAACACCTCGAATATCTAGAAGTAACCTTTTGCCGCACAGATAGCTTTTACTGTGTGCCCCGATGTGCGATGTGTGTGTTTGTGTGCGCGCCTATGTTGCCTCCCCGGAATAAAGCTGCCAATATAAATCAAGTTTCATATATGCGTAATACGGATTCAGTAGGCAGTTGAAGAATTCACACAGACACACATATGGTTTAGATTATCTGGCGACACTGTCATTCATGCAGGACGACTGGCTGAAAAAAGAAAACACAAATAGAGGAAATGTTGAGGAGATTATATTAGGTTTACAATAACAACGACAACAACAGAAACATCAACTAGAGAACAGGAACATACACATTTTGGGACACATCACAAATCCGGATACAACTGCCGACCAAAGGAAGTATTTCAATATGGTTTTCGGTTTGGTTTTGGTTCAGTCTATTTTTTTTAGAGCGATGTTGTGTTCTTGAGCTAAAAATGGAACTGAAGTGCAAAAATTTTTGATAAAATGGTAATGGAAATTGAAAATCGGATTAAAGTTTAAAAAATGATTTAAATTTGTATCTGAAATCATTTTTAAAAGAATATTCTTCGAATTTTAAACAATATCTTTTTCTAGGACATCCAATGCAAAACTCATGGATTTAAAAAAAATATCTCGAGAACTTTTAAGGATATAAACTTGTTTTTTAAATTATATATTTTAAGATCCATGTAACATCAGATTTTTTAGACAGTTTTATGGATCTAAGATTGAATTGAATATCATATTTTAAAGGACCTTTAATGATTTAATAGTGGATATTTAAAGGATATATTTTCAAGGGCTATTAAAGAAGTTAGAGTTGATTTTTTAAAGAATATTTTTGTAGGGAAAATTTGATTTTTAAAGAATATTTGTTTATGATGCTTAATAACCTAAAAATATTTTTTTCAAGGACTATAAGGAAGTAAGAGTGGAATTTTTAAAGAATATTTTTTTTCAAGGACTATTATCCCAACAAACCAAAAGTATTGAGAATAATATTATATTAAGCTTACCAACACAAGCATTAAGCTTGAAAAAGTCTTGAGATAATCTTGAGAAATGTTTATTAATAATTGTAGAAAAATCAAAACGGAACCCTTATGATACAATTACTTGTGTAATGTTACTAAAAGCTTATTCTTGCAATTGTAGAATAAGCTTACAAATGTAATTTTATCTTAACTAGTGTGTATAAAGGTTACTCATCTCAATATACAACTCTTGAGAAACATTTGTGTACAACAATAGTTTATCAAGCATAGTTGAAAACTGTTTGTGAAGTCAAATTTTAACAACATTTTTTTAATATTACTAAAAAAAGCTTAAGAACAACTATTATTATAAGCTTGTTCTCAAGTGGTATTGAGATTTGATTACTGAATGGTATGTTGGGATGGAGGTAAGTGTGGATTTTTCAGAATAATTTTTCAAGTACTCTTTGGTATGTGAGCGTGAATTTTTTAAGGAATATTTTTGCAAGGATTATTAGGAGGTGAGGAGAGAGAATTTTTTTAAAAATTAGCGTGAATTTTTAAAGAATATTTTAAAGGACTATTGAGGATACAAATGTTGCTTTTTAAGAAAAAAAACTATTTTTCAAGGGCTATTAAGGATATAAGCGTGGAATAAAGTATATTTTTGAAGGGCCAAAGTTGATTTTTTAAGATTGTATTTTCAATGATGTTTCGTGGATTTTCAAGAAAGGATATTTTTGAAGGATTTTTAATATTCTAAGCATACATTTTTTAACTTATATGTTTTCAAGGACTATTAAGGATATAAGCGTGGATTTTTAAAGAAAATTTTGTAAAGGGCTATTAAAAAGGGAATGTGGATTTTTTAAAGAATATTTTTTCAAGGACTGTTAAGGATGAATGCGTGGATTTTTTAAAGAATATTTTTTTCAAGAAATTTTAAGGATATATGAGTGAATTTTATAAATATTATTTTCAGGGACTATTACGGATGTAAGGGTAGATTTTTAAAGTATATTGGTTTAAGGACTATTAGTGATGTAAGCTTGAATTATTAAAGAATATTTTTCAAGGACTATCAAGGATGTATGAGTGGATTTTTAAAGAATATTTTTCAAGAAATATTAAAAGGGAATCGTTGGGTTTTAAGAATTTGGTTTTTAAGGGTCATTTAATATCTAATCGTTAATTAAAAAATCAAGGATTATTAAGGATATAAGAGTGGATTTAATGAAATATGTTAAAGTACTATGTAGAATAAAAACGTCAATTAGAAACAAATATTCAGGGGACCTTAAGGCCCTAGCTTTGGATACAAAAATATTTTCAGGAACCACAAATATCTAAGTGTGGATTTGGAAAAGAAGCATTTTGGAACACAGTTTATCACAGTTTTAAGGACTACCAAGGATATAAGTACTACGTCCATTATTTGAAGAAATAAATTTCAAGGATTAGGTGGATTTTAAAAATGGAAGGACATGAATTTTTAAAACAATATTTTTTTTGAGTAATACAAAAAGTATCTGCCAGAATTTTTTGGGAATATGTTTGCAAGGACTACCACTACTATAATTCTAGATTTGGTAGTGAATAATTTTTCAAGGACTACAAGGATTACATGATTTTTTTTAAAGAATTTATCATTAAGTTTGTTATCCTAGAAGATAAATTCTTTATTTTTTTAAGAATATTTTGTATAACTATGTGAATTTTTAACTAATACTTCTTCAAGGATTTAGAGGATTTAAAAAATATATTTTTAAAGGACAAAGTGAATTTTTTTAAGAAAACTTATGATTTCTATAGCATTTTTTTAAGATTACGAGGATTTTTTGGGAATGTTTCTTTCAAGGACATTGTACATTTTTAAGGACTATTTTTTTAATTTGTTTAAAGATTATGTTGTTGAGATATCGTTGGAGTCCTTTTTCCAAGAGGTGGTGCTATTTTCTTAGATTTTTTTATTTTTTTAAGTTACCAATTTTTTTTTATTGTCTAAACTTTTTGGCCTTCAATATTTTTTCTACAAAATTTTTCTCCACCCCCTTCAATAATCTCTAAGAATACGTGTTTCCAAAATGCAAACTGAAATACCTGGAAATCTAAATTAACTTTGCCAAAACTGTACGTGTGTGTGTGTTTGATTTCAGTTTCACACCTTGCAATCGATAATGTTGTTGGTTTTTTTCTTTGGCACCTATCCCGCTTCACTATTTTGGCACAATTATTCATGTAATTTCATTGTATCCTATCCAAGTTTTTTTTTTGGTAAATGAAGGACATGTCCTAATAGATAAAAAACTTGAGGAATTACCAAATAAAAACAACAAAATTCTTTGGAAAAAATTCGTTAACATTTTTTTGGAAGGTAAATGTCATTGGAATGTCTGTTTTATTCCTTTGGCTTGCATAAATTCGTGCGAAATGCTGCATCATCGTCATCTTCTTCAATTTCGAAAAACCATTTCTTGGATTATTGTATTAGCATGATTTTTTTCGTCTGGTATTAGTGTGAAGTGCAGGTGAGAGAAATCCTTGAAAGATGAAATGACACTCAGATGGTGTTTATGGCGGAAAGTTGATGATGGTATGAAGAGAGTATAAAGGAAGAATTTCAATTTAATAGCATGGAGTGAAGTTTTGGTTTATGAAATAATTATTTTACAAGAAACAAATTGATGGAAGTATATAATGGTTTTGAAGTTCTGGAACCAACGTCTTAACATTAACCTTGGTTTTGGATTTATACCATTTGGGTGAAAGGTAGAGCGATATACCCCATCTTCGAACTTGATTAAAGTTTGGAAGAAATGTTACGATTTGCAGATTTTGGATGAACGTAACCGATACTCGCTTCGAGAGTTATCGTGGGCACCAGCCAGTCAGACAGACGAACATTTATAAGTCGACTCCTAATTACATGAAACTGATTTGGTTTAAGGGAACCCCCCATTCTCGATTTTATTTTTTCAAGATTTTCAATGGGCTGGTAAATCAATACCAATTCTTGTTAAGGTTTGTAACTTTGCACATATATATTTGACGATTTAAAAGAGAAGAAAAATAATTTACAAATAAATTTTGTAATTGTTTTGTTGTTGTTTTTTGTAATTAAAGAGAAGCCCTTATTTTTGATGGCGGGCATGATAACTCCTCACTGGAACATCGGAATCCGAAAATTCCAACGGTGTTAACATTTTGTTTTGATTTAATTCAAATCTACTTTAAAATTAACAAAATGGCGGACAAAAAATTTCAAGTGAAAATCACCGATTTTTGAAGAAAACCCAAGTTAAAAAATAAGAAGATATAACCGATTGGCTTTATCCTAGCATACAAGTGACATCACCGAGAAACCTGTAAAAATTTAGAATCGATTGGGTTATTAGTTTTTAAGTTATCGTGCCCGCCATTCGCAAAAGAGAAAAACGCGTTTAAAGTTTGAGAAGCCCTTTAGCCCTCACTTGATGCTGACACAATAAATCGGCTATATCTTCAAGAGTTCTTGAGATTTTCACATGAAATTTGTTAGGGACATTTTTGAATTAGTGTAGATTCGAATTAAATCAAAAAAAAAAAAGTTTTTGACCCCGAGAATGGGGGGTCCCTTTAAAGAAACATGGGGTTTAAAACAATTATTTTGATTGCGTAGGTTGAAATTTGCATAAGGCCGAGGGTATGCAGATGGTTTTATTGTTTATCAAAGTATTATCCAGCATGATTTATGTATTGTGAACAACACAACACATGGCCGTACGCCAAACCGTACTGAATACGTTTGTGCTAAAAAATGTAAAACTTTCCAATGATAATTTCAGGCATCACCTTATACTGCCTTGGCCAGAAATATATTTGCCCTCGAATCCTATTCATACAAAGTTAATCCTATTTTATTTAA